AGCAAAAAGAGAAATAACCCCTGCCCTTATTAGATAGTACATATAAATATACTCAAGAACATCTGAACATACGACAAAACCTTATATATACGAGCATTTCAAATAATAACCCTTACTAAAAAAAGTACATCATATAAAATCATAAGATTGACATGGTCAATGTGAAAATACATCATACAATACTAAGCCATACAACATAAATTTAAGGTGGTCAAGAGTAAAATATATTCCCCCTGACCGGATGACCTTTAAAAAAAGGTGAACTCTTATCTTACTTTACTCTACTAAAACACAAATTTATATTTATCATAGTCGTAAAAAAAAGACAAAAGATACAAAACTAGATCAAAACAACAGAAAAACAAATAAAACGGAAGCCATACTCATGTCGGCAAAGTAAATTATCATAACAGAAATTACTATTTGGAATAGTGCCAAATAGTGTTTGCATAGTGCCAAATAGTGTTTCGAATAGTAAAATACAATACATGACGTGTATGAAATCCAGCTTTTCTAATTAGTGTCAGATAAATATCGATACAATTGATCCAAATCGAAATTTATTGGATACAATATCAACCACGGGGGATAAAAAAAAGTAATGTTAATTCACTATTGACAATTGCCTATCAAAACTGACGAAAGAATACACAAACTACCGAGGAAACAAATCAGAAGAAAAAAAAACAAAAAAACAAAACAACAAAGAAGAAAAAAAAAAGAAAAAAAAAGCGTGAATGTCAGAAAGGGATAAGAATTCTCATGAAGGCAAAAATATCATTGAAACATGATCCTATTTTCTAGCTGCAAATACTATTCGTCTAATAATTTTACGTACAATTATTCCCTCCATACATATCCCTCTTTACTCTCATCCATACAACACTCAATTATCCTCAGATAAAAAATCGATGGGTTTGGTCCGAACTTATATTTATCGGATCAAATATTAACCGTGGGACAAAAAGACAAAGACATTATAACAAACGTACATAAAAAGAGGACCCTTTAGCACTACAACATATAGTACCCATTTAGGTGTGGGAATGTTTCTCATTTCCCTATGTTGGTTGGACATGAGTCTTTAGAGTAGTGGACTTTATAGCTTATGTAAACTGGTCATATAATAGGGTAGTGCACAAATCACAAAAAGTTACTAGATTTACTAAAAAAGTACTCTAACAGTCTAAGTGAACATATTGATATACTTACTATACTCTAAAGGGTTAAACGATACTTGCTTATAAGGAAAATGACATATTCCCCTGGCGAAACAAAAAAAAAAAAAAAAAAAAAAATTGTACTTTATACTATACGATTATTATACATACGTACAAAAATACGCTCTAAAATACTTACTTTTTACTATTAAAAGAAATTACCCTTATCCAAAATCTCCACTCACCACTTAATTCTTATCTTCTTCCATCTTCCTCCTTACCCGAAAAAATCAAACAAAAACCACCATTAAACTCAACCACCATGTTTCAAGAAAACTAAGAAGATCAGCCTGTCTTTACATTTGAGGACGACATGAGGATGATAAAGGTGTATTTCATGTACATTGTGGGGCTAGTGGTCCTCCTAATGACCATATTAATTTACTTGTTAATCCATAAGTAAAAACCCGAAAATTACTTTGGTAGAGCAGGGTAATAATGCATGTGGTATGAGCTGTACTTCAATATTTTGTAATTTAGTAATTTAGAAGTACAAATTGTAACATGTATTTTGGAAATTATGAATAAAAATCATTATTATTACTCGTTTCCTTCGTTTTATGTAATAAAACAAACGTCATTAAGTTTATAAAAATAATTAGCAAAATAATAATTATTATTTGCAAAGAAAACAATAATTATAGTAATAAAAAATAATTAATAGTGATAATTAAAAAGGTAGGATCAAAATTTGGTTTCTACAGATTGCCCCACATTAATTGAGTTTAAATAAAACGATAATCAATGTTTGAGAAAAGACACAAAATTTTGATGTATGTTAAAAAAAGAAATCCTAATTGATCTTCATTTAAACATTGACCTGAGTGCAGTTGAAAAACTGGCTACAAAATAGAGTGAAATTCTCACTCTATTGCATCACAAATGTTGGCTTGGTGCAGTTGAAAAAATGGCTGAAAAATAAATCGAAATTCTCACTCAATTGCAACACAAATGTTAGGCTTAGGTGCAGTTGAAAAACTGGCTGAAAAATAGAGTGAAGTTCTCGCTCAATTGCAACACAAATGTTGGCTTAGGTGCAGTTGAAAAACTGGCTGAAAGAGAACGAAAAAAAAAATATAGTGAAATTCTCACTCAGTTGCAACACAAATGTTGGCTTGGTGCAGTTGAAAAACTGGCTGAAAGAGAAAGAAAAAAAAATAGAGTGAAATTCTCACTCAGTTGCAACACAAATGTTGGCTTGGGTGTAGTTGAAAAACTAGTTTAACCTTGCAGAAGATTAAAACTCCGATCTGCACGAGCTTGAAGAAAAAATAACAATCAATCTTGAAAAAAACACAATTTATGGATTTCGGATGCAAAAACAGCAGGTGGTTTGTACTGAGTTTTCGGAAAAGTAAACTCCTTCGGCCTTTTCTCCCTGGCTCTATTACCACCACCACCCCTATAAAAAAAAAGTGGTATCAACTCTCCCTTCTTCTTCTTTCAAGCTTTTCAAGTCTTATTTATTCTCTCCTCAAATTTCTAAGAAAAAATGAATGTCATGTTTCAAGAATTCAATGAAATCAGTGGAGCTAGAAAGCTCCAACTAAAAGGGGTGATAGAAAACATTTCTCCACCTCGTCTTTCCTCTTATACAAGTGTCTTTACTAGAACCATCACCCCTCTCCTAGTTATTCAACCTCGGTATGATATGATTCATGCTGATGTTGAATTTTGGGATGAAGAACGCCATGTTTTTCGTTTTGGAGAGACGAAAATGACTCCTCTTCTAAAAGAAGTGGAGGGTTTACTAGGTCTTTATAAAGAATGTCGTGTGATTAATAATGCTGACCCAAGGGCAACCAATGCGGCCATGAGGGATTTGCTAGGCATACCATTAAATATGGAAAGCAATTATCGCCTGCTTGACAGCTTAATGTTAGAGAATTTCCTTGAAACCTTCTCTTTATCTCATTGGGAATCTGCCAACAATGAGGATTTCAAAAGGTGCCAAGAGAGAGCTTGCATCCTTTTATTGCTCGGCCTTGTTTTGCTCAAAGAATCATTATTTTCATGTCATGTTCGTTGCCTTTCTTTGCTGTCACAGATTGAGTCAGGGAACCGTTTAGGGCCTCTTATCCTAGGGGAACTTATGATGGGGCTTGACCATCTGAAACAAAATCTAGGTGGTTTTGTTAAAGGGTGTCCAATTGTGCTTCAACTTTGGTTATGCGAGAAATTCAAGCTGTCTAGACCACCTTTTCGAACTCCTTACCAAACCCGACATATTCGGGAGAGAGGCTTTTTTCCTATATTTCGTCAATGTTGCAATCATGGTGGATGGGTAGACGTCTTTGTCGTAGCTGATGTGGAATGGATCACTTCATTTCTCAACATAAATTCCATAACAATTAGCACTAGCAGGCGTAGAGGTGTTCAACTTCCAGGATTGTGTCGCGTCACATTCTATCTTCCTTGGAGATGCTTGAGACAAGCGGGCCAACTCCAACGACTCCTAGAGCTCCATGAGCTCCCAGTGGTACCTTGTACCACTTATGAAATTGGTAGTGTGGAAGCTCTTAGGGCGTCATCCCGTGTATGGCAATTTGCACGAATGCTTCCAGCACTTTCAATCCTCGAAGATGATGTTCCAACCGCGTCCTACACAACATGGTTGTTGGAGGACCTCGAGGGTGATGCTTGAATAAATCCTTAGAGGGATTTCGTTATTTGTACTTCATAATTTGTATTTTGTGTTTCCCTTGCTTATGTATTTTCAATTCCAAAAGAAGAAATCGTATCCGATGGAATTGGTCTCTTAAGTATGGTGTATGTGGTTGTTGTTTCCATGTTTAAAAATGGATGTAATCTCGCCAAAAACTGAGAGAGTTTGCGTTATGATCAAATAATAATAAAAAAAAAAATGTTTGTTGTAATCATATTTTGTTAAGTATTGCCTTGATCATGATCTTTTAATAATAATGAATATTTCTACATGACTCTTAAGCATGCAATGCAAACATGAATGAAATCTAAACTTTAACATGATACACATGACTATCTAGAGCTAGTAGGAGATTCAAGTTTTTTTTTTTTTTTTTTTTTTTTTTGAGAATCCCATAAATACAACATCGTACTAATCAAGCATAATACTTTTTTAACTGATCAAGGTTGGTGAAATGAACAAATTCATTTCCAATCAAGATCCATCAATTTTACTGCTCCTGCTAGTGTAAGATGTTTGACCAGGAAGGGGCCAGACCAGTTGGGCTTGAACTTTCCACGTGGATCATGAATCGGTGCTCGATTTTCCTTAAGTACCAAATCTCCCTCTTGGATATTCCTTTCCCTGACCTTTTTATTAAAAGCCCGAGCAATGCGTCTTTGATAAATTTGAATGTTGTGAAGGGCTTGTAACCTTCGTTCACTTGCCAAAGAAAGTTCATCATATCGTTCTTTAAACCATTGTTCTTCAAATATCTCGCTTACATTCATTACGCGAAGCGATTGAATCTCTGTTTCGATTGGAAGAAGCGGATCCATTCCATATACCAAAGAATATGGAGTAGTCCCAGTTGGTGTTCGAATGGAAATTCTTTATCCCAAAGTGCGTAGGGAAGTTTATCGGGCCATTCTCGAGCCCTATCTGTCATCTTGGCGATTATCGTCTTGATAGTTTTGTTAGCTGCTTCAACAACTCCATTGGTTTGAGGACGATATGGTGATGATTGGTGATATCTGATTTTATACTTCTCAAGGTTTCTTTGAGATGCCATCAAATTGCGAACCATTGTCGGAAATAATTTCAAAAGGTACCCATACGACATATAATATTATTGATTACAAATTTTGAAACTTGTTTTGCCCTAGTTTCGAATATGATGATGCCTCCGCCCATTTCGAAAAATAATCAACAGCAACCAATATATATTGATGCCCGTTCGAAGCTTTCGGATGTATTTGCCCAATGATATCTATGCCATAAATGGAAAAAGGCCATGGAGAAGTAAAATTATTTAGGCTAACTGGCGGCATATGATTAAGGTTTGCAAATAGCTGACATCTTTTGCATGTTCGTACGAAATGGATGCAATCACTTTCCAAAGTGGTCCAATAATACCCTGCTCGCAGAATCTTCCGAGCAAGCATTCGTCCATTCATGTGAGGCCCATATTCTCCCCCATTTACCTCTTCCATGATCCTTTGTGTCTGCTCCCCATCGATGCATAATTGCAAATTTCCATCGAAACTCTTATGATACAACAAACCTTTCAATATTGTGAAATGAGAAGCCAGCCTTCGAATAGCCAATTGATCCTTCTTGTGACTTCCTTCAGGATATTCTCCGTTGATTAAATACTTTTTAACATCATTATACCAAGCATCCTCATAATCTTCTTGGGTTAATAAAGCAATTGTTGGTTTAAAATTAATCACTGGAATTTCTTTTTCTACAATTGTTACCGACTGTACCTTCACATCATCATCCCAAGTTAAATTTACCGCCAAATTTTCCAAAGCATCGGTGAAACTGTTTAGTTCGCGAGGGAGATGTTTGAACTCTATTTCTTCAAAGAATGGGATAAATTGTTGAAGATACTCTGTGTACATTTGCAACCTTTCGTCCCGAACTTTCCAAGCTCCAATAGTCTGGGAAATTATCAGATAAGAATCACCGTATAATGTGAGATTTTTTGCACCAGCTGCTAATGCCGCTTTGATTCCATAGATGCAGGCTTCATATTCAGCCGTGTTATTCGTCGTTAGGAAACTAAGCTTCACAACGAAAGGAATATGTACTCCATAAGGATCGATCAATAATACCCCTGCACCATTTCCCCTTCTATTTGAGGCTCCATCGAAATACATCTTCCATTGTGACGTACTAAGACAGAAAATATGTTCATCTGGAAAATCATCATCAAATTCATCACCCGATATAGGTCCATCAGCCAAAGCTTCAGATATAGCCCTCCCTTTGACACACTTTTGATTCACGCACTGAATTTCAAATTCTGACAATATCGCATGCCACCTTGCTATTCTTTCACTCAAGATTGGCTTCTCAAAAATGTACTTGATTGGATCTAACCTCGAAACCAGATAAGTAGTATGCGCTTGTAAATAATGTCGAAGATTCTTTGTCACGTAAATAAGGGCAATGCAAGCTCTTTCTAAAGGAGTGTATCTAGTTTCATACTCAAGGAACTTTTTACTGAGGTAGTAGATAGCTATTTCCTTCCTTGTACCCTCTTGGTATTGTGCCAAAAGAGCTCCCATGGCTGTTTCCGTAATAGTAAGATATAATATCAAGGGCTGCCCTGGTTTCGGTGGCATTAAAACCGAAGGATTGGAGAGGTATTCTTTCATTGAATCAAATGAGGCTTGACATTCGTCATTCCATTTTGTAGGAACATTTTTATTAAGTAACTTGAATATAGGTTCACACCGGGTTGTCAATTGCGATATGAACCTACTAATATATTGAATTCTACCAAGAAATCCCCGAATCTCCTTTTCCGTCCTTGGCGGAGGAAGCTCTTGTATGGCCTTTACCTTGTCAGAATCAACCTTAATTCCGTCTTGACTTACGACGAAGCCTAGAAGTTTTCCCGAAGTTACTCCAAATACACATTTCTGAGGATTCAATCTCAGATTGTATTTCCTAAATCTATCGAAGAATGATTTTAAAGCATCAAGGTGCGTTTCACGATCATGACTTTTCACAATCATGTCATCAACATAAACCTCCACAATATCGTGGATGAGGTCATGCAAAATCGTCGTTGCCGCCCGTTGATAGGTTGCCCCAGCATTCTTTAATACAAAGGGCATTGCTCTATAACAAAAGGTTCCCCATGGGGTAATAAAAGAAGTTTTGGACATGTCCTCCTCTGACATAAGTACCTGATTACATCCCGAGAATCCGTCCATGAATGAGAACATGGCGTGTCCAGCAGTGTTATCAACCAGAACATCAATGTGGGGCAAAGGAAAATAGTCTTTTGGTGATGCTGAATTTAAATCCCTAAAATCAATGCACACTCTGACCCTTCCATCTTTTTTGGGCACTACCACCACATTCGCCAGCCGTTCCGGATGCTTAATTGGTTTGATGAAGTTAGCATCAAGCTGCTTTTGAATTTCCTCCTTAACTTTGAGACTAACTTCCGGATTCATTCTACGAAGCTTTTGTTGCTTTGGCTTGCTATCGGGATAGAGTGGTATACGATGTTCAGCAATGCTACGATCGACACCAGGCATATCAGCATAAGACCATGCAAACACATCCACATATTCTTTAAGTAAAATAATAAATGCATTTTGTTCATCAAGGGAAAGGGAGGATCCTATCTTGACTTCTTTTACATCATTATCCGTACCTGTGTTTACAGTTATAGACTCTTCCATGGGTGTCACACATGATTTAGGTTCATTGAAAAGTTCATTATTAGAAAATGATTCATGATCAAGATCAATTTCTTGTACGCAAATATGTTTACAAGTAATTTTATCGATATCTTCATGATATGGGATATTAGGCAGTGTACGGATAGATGATTGGCTGGATGATGAGCTATCGGTTTCATAACCGTCTGAGATAGAGGATTGAAAAGGATATATTAGGGAAAAAGGGAATTGTTCTCGAGTTTCGGATCGTATATTGTTTTCAACTTCTGTTTTTATTGGAGTAATAAGCGTAATGGTATCCAATCGGACTTCATAATCAGAAATTGATGAAAACCGCCTCTTAGAACTCCTTGCTTTAGATGGTCAGCCCAATCAAAATCTTTCTTAAATACTGGTTTCTTATCAAACCATTTCTTAATAAAGTCTTCATTCCTTTCTTCTGCAAAGAAAATTTCTAACCCAGGGAGAATTTTCTCTTTATCCAAGTCATACCAAGGTTCAGGAAACTCATAAAGCGGCTCAGTGTCATTTTGCAACACAAATTGCCCATTCAAAGTGAGAGACTTCTTTTTCATAACCTTAGAACCCATGTTCTCATCGAAGCCCAAACCATGACGATTTCGCTTATCGATTATTAGGATTGGGTGCCTCATGCCTTCACCGTTTCGTCCTAAACCAGCTCCTGGAACATAACCCATTTTCAACATCAATTGAAGTCCTCTAGTAAGTGTTTGGGGTATTGGATCTTGGATTTCTTGAATGGAATCCGAGGGTAGAGTAGATTTTCGAGTTTGGTTGGTCATTGGTTAGCAAAGGATACCTAAACATTTCATACCGAAGATTAGGATTTCCTCCTTTTTTAAAAAAAAATAATTAAAAAAAAAAAGTAAACGAAAAATGCAAAAATGCATGCGGAAAAAAAAAATTGGTAAAAATTTAAAGGACGTCTATTAAGTTAGATAAGTTAGTGGGGTGTTCATTCCCAAAAAAAAACTTTTTAATTATTTCGGGTCGCGCCATAAGGCTGCCTACGTATCTCCAGATAGATTTTTTTGTCTTTTCACATTTTTTCTTCTCTCTTTTTTTGGAGAATCAGACCCGTCGTAGTTCAAAACGGAAGAAGGAGGTTTTTTTTTTTAAACAGCTGCACTCGATCAGAGTTGCCAACGTACCCCAATAACAATGTGCGTGCAAGTACAATTTTGTGTATGATCATGAAATAGTGCTTTAGGGATCAAGTTGTACGTAGTTCTTTGTACCAAAAGAAAACATAAAGAGGAAAAAAAATGCTTGGTTTACAGTGCTCATACTACCTCTTTTATTCATCCTTCTTGATGGAGGGTAAGATAGAGGTCACCATGTCGTTGTAGATGCTTCCTTTCCCATGTATAGATTCCTTAGGCTTCAAGGTTTTTAACAGTCTTTCTTGTAGTCCGAGTAGTGACGAGCAATCAAAATAGTGGGATTATCTTCGTGTGTCCAAAGGAAAGGGAATTTATGGACACTTTTTGATTCGGGCAGGAAACTCCAGTAGTGCGCTTTATACACCAACGGAGGGTGTGACATTCGTTAGTATCATGGCCATGTAACTGATGATGGTGACAATATTTTTTGAGATTTGGTCCAACAGGATCAGCTCCTGCTCGACGAGGTAGCGGCTTGATACGACCTTCTTCGAGTAGTTTAAGGAACAAATCAGCTTGAGAGGCCCGTGGATGTGCCGAGCTTGTCTCTGGTACGCTAGACTTAGGATGGGCCGGAGTGATGATCCCACGATCAATAAGATCCTGGATTGCACATTTAAGGTCGTAAAAAGTATCGGTTCTATGCTCATATAGATGACAATAACTGCAATATTGTCTCATATCGGTTCCATGTGGTGGTAACGAATACACATAGCATTTTGCCCGAAGAAGACCCTTTTTACTCAAACGATCGTTGTAGGGAATAGTTTCAAGCCTTTAAAAATCCCACTAGCTTGAACCCCACTGTGATCATACACTAATGTACGGTGGCGTCCAAAAGGGAAGAAGATAGAACAAAAGAGTCGCCAACAAGTTTTTAAGGAACTTGTAAACCATTCACGAGGTGAAGGTTACACCCCTTAACGATCCAAGAGATCGTCAACTCCATAAGGTCATGAACCAAATAAGGGTTCGGTGATGATGGTACAAATCCAACCTAAAAGAGATTGAACCTGCCCTAATAATAGGCCTCTACTTTATTCTGCTCGTATTCATGTGCGCTTTCTGACTAACATACAATCAATAGGATTAACCCTAAACATGTTTAATCTATGTTGGTTGAATTTAATGCAAAAATAAACTATTATTGGCGATCACTTGAATTATAATCACAATTAACCTAACAAGATTATTAATTATCTTATTAAGCGTGATTGCAAGTACCAATTTCCTTTAAGCATGCATAAAGGTGATCAAGCAATAAACATAAATATCAAGCAACATAATAAATAATCAATATCATGAATAATAATTATAATCATCATCAAAATAATAATAACAATAATATTCACAATCATCATAAAATAACAAATAATCATAATCATGCATGTTAATAAAAGATAATAAAAATAGCAAGATCAATGATACTAAAAATTAATAAAAATAGCATCATAAAAAAAAATCAAATCTATAAATAATAACATAATAAATATTAGGAAGAATATAGGAAGCATCACAACAATCATATTTAATATTAAAAAATATCCTAGACATGATACTAGGAATATCATAATAACAATGTAAACATGATATCTACATCACAAAATTAATCAAATCAATTAAAGTACTTACTTTGATGCCTCGTACCTCTTTCTAATAACAAAATACACACGTTAGTAACTTTAAGGAAAAAATAATAATCAAAACAATTAAATTAAATAATTGAAATAGAGATTTGGGACCAAACCCTCGGAAATTAAAATCTTTCACGTCTAGGGCGAAGGCAACTTCGAATATGGCTAGGTGTTTCTAGATCTTGTGAATGCGGAATTTTGTATGAAAAAGCAAGAAAGAAAGAATGGTAAAGAATTAATGTTATTGAAAATTGATGAAAGAAAGATGATGAATGAAGGGAATTAATGAATGGTAATTGATGAATAAATTGTGAATGAAGAGAATTGATGATCGATGATGAAGATAGTTGGTGAAAACTTAAGAATAAAGAGAATTGGTGACTCTTGGTGTTGATGATGATTGAAAACGGAGTTTTTGATACGATATTTATAGAGAAAATCATTCAAAAAAGATAATTTAACAAAACATAGCCTGACAACCACAAAAACACATTTGCGCCAGCCCTGGCTCATTGGCGCCAATGGCTGGCGTCTGGCGCCAATCCTGATTCCAGGCGCCAAGGTCTGGGGTTGGACGCCAAATTGGATTTCAACGCATTTTCGAAAATCTGATAAATTTCCCGTACTGGAAGATAAAATAATATAATTTCAGTCAAAAATGCTATTTGATCTAATTATAACTCTGAAGAATCCTGATTGAATTAAGAATGATAAAAACCTTCTAGAATGTTCTAGAAGACTAAAACCATTCCTAATTACATTAGGAATGATAAATCATATTAGGCCCTCCCCTAGATCATTGGGCCGTACTTAAAACTCAAACCGAGCCCAGTTTAGTAAATTGGCCATAAATTCCTCAATATTCATCGGAATTGGGCTTATAATATATCGTTGGAAAGGCCTTTGCAAGCCCCATCCAACTACACCACTATTGGACCCATATCATGGACCAACCAAACTGGATTGGCTGTTTTCTTAAAATAAAGTTTTCAAAAACAGAGAGAAAAGAAAAGAAATAAACTTTCCGCAACACTAGACCTTTCCACACTTTCGTTTCATTCGATTATGATTCGACGTGAAAGGCACTCATCACTGGGTTTAGTTTTGGGGAGACACAAATGGGTGTCTACAGAAGCCCCCACTTTGACTGAGTTTGGAGAAACGCAAGTTTCGAGAACGAAAGCCAAAGTATCGATAGGGACGGAGAATGATTTAGAACGTTCTGCGATCCTAAATCAATCTTGTAACGTCGATACATGCAACACTAGCATTAGTTAAACAGATAAAAGAGTTAAGAAACGCGTATCTTGCACCGTCGAGCACACGTCTCTAAAAGTAACCGCTTTGTTGCTGCTTTTGCTGCTGTTTTAATGACCTTCTACAAGCTAGAGAATGTCATCCCGCCTGAAAACCGCTACGCCTTGTAACTGCTTCCAAATTAGAAGATTGCTTCGCCTGAAACTATCCTCTCCGCTGTGATAATATTCCACGTCCAAGGGAACATCATCGAAGATTATTTCTCTTGAAACAATCCTTAGTTTTTTGTGACAACCCTCCACAATCTAGGGAACGCCATCTTGTTGTTTGTTTTGACGATCTTCCGCAATCTAGGGAACGCCGTCGATCAATGTTGCTACATCTTGAGCCTTTTCTTGAATCATAGTGACAACCTTTCCAATCATAGCAAAAGTCGTCGAAGACTGCCCATCTCGTGCTATCTTCTCAAATCTTGGGTTACAACCTCCACAATCTTAGCGAATGCCGTCGAAGACCGCCCATCTCGTGCTATCTTCTCAAATCTTGGGTGACAACCTCCACAATCTTAGCGAATTTCGTCGAAGACCGCCCATCTCGTGCTATCTTCTCAAATCTTTGGTGACAACTTCCACAATCTTAGCGAACGCTGTCGAAAATAACTTTACTTGAAGTCATCCTCAGTTGTTGCGATAATATTCCAAAGAAAATTACCGAAGACCGACACTTGTCGATCTTTAAAGCTCGCTCGAACTTTGCTTCCGCTATGCCTGTACGTCGGTGCTCTCGTTGCTTTGAACCTATACATCGGTGCCTTTTCTGCTTTTGAGCCAATGCCTAGGCGCTTTAAGCTAAGTGAGATGATCTTTCATCAGGTCGATCACTTATTTACTTTTGGAGAGGCTTCAAACTTTGTCGCTGCTGAAATATCTCTGGCGCCAAGAATTGACTCTGTCGCCGAACGCTGTGATAGGGTCTTCCCTATTCTGCTGCACCTGTATTTATTTTGACTATAGAACTTTGCCAATATCTTTAATCATCTTAGGGTTGACCTAAGGTTTAGCATTGCTTAACTCATTGACTAGACAGGACTCAAGGTATAAACTTGACTCGATATGTTTGATTGACTCGAGGTTGACTCGACTCGAAGTGTAATGACACATGTGTTAGACTCAAATCAAAGTGATATGACACGACATGACTCAATGTGTACATGATTCGTGTGTGCATTGTAATGTGTTAGTGCGACTCGAAAAAATGCAAAAAAGCAAAAATTTTCCGTCAATTTTGTGGAGGGTACCGACTTTCTCCCGAAAAAGAAAGACGTGAAAAAGAAAATCAAAGGTTTGAAGATGCATGTTGAATGAGCTTAGTCAAATGTTGTTTGATACTATCTCTCAAGGTGCAAGGATTAATTCATCCTAGGCTATCTCAACTGTTGACTCCATGATGAAAGTATTTGGGTAACTTAGGCACGGAGGCTAAGCACTTCATACTTCGTGATGTAATGACAATTATGAGTGATTTTGACGAAGCATGCTTCAGCGTTAAGATTTCATGACAAAGGGTTCCTAAGGGAAATATATTTGGTCATGTATGCGTGATGTGTGTGATAATGACACTAAA